ACTAAGCTTGTCATTCTGATCATAATTTGCCATTTTATGTTCATGAAAGGTATATCAAATAATCTTTTAAAAAACAAACTTCTTACAAACGCCAGCGGAAGTGTCGCAAATGTTTAAACTGGTTTTCAAAGTGTAAAAAGCACTTCAATGCACTAAGCCTCAACAACTCAACAAAAGCTCACCGGTAAACGAGCTATCTTATTTATATGTATGTATACAAATAATAAAATAAGTTTTTCGTTTGAGTGGTTGATAAAACAATTGCAATTGAGTTGAGCTCATTAACGGAAATTCTAATGAGTTTGAAAAATGAATGCCTTTTCACTTCATTTTAAAACTCAAGTTTTATTTGAGTAAAAATATTTCTACACTGTCAAAAATATGTATGTTATATGGTTACCTTTTTATGTACCTAATTTATTTATTTATGATTTAGGCACTACATCGCTATTCTGTCAAGTTCTTTAACTAAGGTGGATATTGTAATGTGAGCACATCCCTTCAAGCGAATGAAAAAACCAACACCACAAGTTGGATAAGGTTTCAAATTGATAAATCATATTATTAGCTTTTATTAAAATAATTCATATTTTTTGCAATAAATGCTTTCAGTGATCTGTATCTTGGACTGGATCACGTTAGAAGATGGTATTTTGTACTAAGAAGACAAGGGAAGAAGTCTTGATCACTTAACTCGATAAAATAAGGGAAATCGTTGATTCGCACATTGCCAAAAAAACAGTTTGGGAAAAACGGAATACACAAAGAAGTTCGAAGTATCACTTGAGTTATAGTGAAAAAATCTCATGCGTCGAATTTTCATCTGCGAATCGTTGCTACACCTTAACAAAATTGCGCCATTTTTGAAGCGAAATGACTGACGACTGATGGTCAACTTATATCAATGTCAAACGACCACTACCGTTGGTCGAATGGCAGTGAGCACAACGGTCTCCAGGCCATAACAGAGGACCATGAAAATTTTGGATGGTGTTTGGTGGAAACATCATCATATTCGGTGAGCTGCTCACCGAAGTCCAAAACATCAAATTCGAACCTGTGTGGTTAGCTATTGGAAGACACACATTAATAGTGACTTGCCAGAAGCTTGCCAGGAACCTCGCATCAATTCATTACCGTGTCTTTTGCTCTTTATTTCAAAATATTTGGCTTGTGAGGAATTGGCCACAAAAGAAGCTAATGAAAATCGATTGCCCCCCATTTTGCCAATAGGTAAAAGTTTCTATGAGAAATCATATTACCCTAAAAATGATAAAAAGTTAAGGAAATATTTCATACATAAATCGGATAATTCTTAATGTTGTAAATAAATTCTTCAATTTAGTAAAAAAAAAAATAATAAATTACGTTTCACTAGACCTTATATGTAGTCTCATCGTGACTTATCTTCTGCTCAACAACTTTAATTAAAAACATGAAGCGATCCAAACCTCTGATTCAGAATATAAATACAAAAATATTTCAAGCGGATTGTTCAACTCGTAAAAGATCTTTGGAAGTTGGAAACGAAATTAATCTAATAACGTACAATCAATAAATCCTTATTAAAGCTCATATGGTAGTGTTTACTAGCACATATCTTAACTGTTAACAATTTTGCTTTTTTTATCAAAATAACATAACTCAAAATTTCCAATAGAAAAGCTAACAAATTGCGATCTCTCCTTCTGGTTTGTGATGAGAGCTTTGATGTTTTTCCAACAAATTGAGAGGCTAACAAATATTATAAGCCGCCTCTGAGCAGGGTTGCAGGAGGAGCTTTTGACACTCTCGGGAGACTGCACCTTGAAAAATATATATAATTGGTATTTCGTAACCGCTGAAGCGATTTAATTAATTAAAAAAAAATTAAAATAAAATGTTCCAATTGTCAATCCCCCCGAGTGTATTTATCACACGAAATGAAAGCTCGTCATAAAAAACAATCAACCCTTCGAAGGTGGCTTAGTATAACCCTTTGATGTTGATCGAACAATGACTTCAACGCTCGACTTCCAATTTAACTCCGTCCTGAAACCCACTTGCTTTCGAAAGCTTGCCTTGAAATTATTAAATACCGATTTCAAAAAGTTTACAAAAGAGTTGAGGGTACGGAGATTTTCCGCCGCTTATTTGAAGTGAAACATAATGAATATTACTTACAAGCCGATCCAATACTAGAATTAGAACTATTTATATTAAAATATATTTGTTAAATGCACATATGTATATGTCGTTATAATATCATAGCAAAAACGATTTACAGGTAAATTATCGTTAGTTCAAGTCATCGATTTTTCATTTTGCGCTTTGCGCTCCCTTTTGACAAATCATTAAGAGTGCCAATAGATATTTTCGAAGGAACGTGCCAAAGCAACCGCTAACTGAAAGACACACAGATATATGTCACCTGTGCCAAAAACCACATGTATAGGTATGTCTGTTCATATGTATGTAAGTCTGTGATGGGTACATAGCGTTGGCAGAAATTGAAATTGTAGCATTCAATGACCTCAACTATGAGATGGTATCTGGTATGGTATAAGAAGTCAAACTGATAATTTTCTACCATAATTACAAGCCCACCTGACTTAAATTTTGTATGAAGAAATTAGAAAAAGAACACTGAACTCCTATTCACCCTATAGGTTGTTCCAGATTTTATTTTTCTCAAACTAAATCTAATAAAGAACCTGCACAGAAAAGGACGAAAATCTGGAGCAATACCTTTCCTAGTCTCCGTCTTTCAGCCAATCCACAGCCTCCGTGTTCCAACCATTTGGGCATAATAATAATTTGGATACTCATGGCTAGAGGAAACTAAAAAAAATTCATTAAATCGAGCGAATTGTTCACAAAAGTATAACTTATACTTCTATCCACTTTTGTCACAGCGGGCACCATATTCAAAATTGTTTGTCTCAAAAGTTGTTGATCGTCTTAGAATTTACGCCGATAATTACGGGATATACGTGTATGTTAGTAAATAGGTTGGACTGAAGTGGTCGACTTATTGGGGAATCTCACAGGATATCACGTCCATGCTGTTACCAGAAACGTTACGTTCGATCAAAACTCTGTACGGCTACACTACCTCTGGTGTCTTCAGTTTGAAGAGTTATATAAATTGTTACGTTATTCTTACTAAAAATGATCGGGAATTGTCTACCATACTCCAGATACGCACATAATACGTAATTCATTATTTTCATCAACCTAATTTGAAGGCATGGCGGCCGCGGTAGCCGAGAAGTTAGCATTGCGTACTGACATTCGGAAGATTCGGATTCAAACCGCCGTGCGACCAACAACCAAACAGGCTTAGTATAAACTTAAGTCCTTCCATTAACAGCACGATAAAAGAGAGTTTCTCATTCACTTCTCTCAGAGAGCAAGTCCAGTTCTGAAAGGACTTTATCTTTCGCCATTCATGCTTTTCGATGTTTCGATGTTGAACTGAGATCGACTTTTCTTACCGCCGAGTTGAGTGTTTGAATGACCTTCTTATCTAGGGTTAAATGCAGCAAAATGGCATTCCTTTGTTTATCGGTTTCCATAGCAGAACCATTTGGAAATGTCTGTAAAGCTTCGTCTGTAAACTCAACTCTTTTGTTCCATACACCTGCTTGCATTGTAGCAGCCATAAGCTATCAGATAGACAGTCGAGGGATAATGGGATATATTCTATTCTTAAGGAAAGGAAGCGTTGTACCACTGTAGCTATAAGTTCTGACTCTCCGCCGAAAGAAAGCGTGTACCCGCCTACATGATAACAGAAATCTTGGCCTGAAGCAAACCGCAAAGATCAGCTAGTTTGAAAGAAACTTTATAGAAGGTTTTCCAGAGAAGACATCTGTTCTTCTGATTATGAATAAAAATATGAGTATTATGAGGGGTCTCCATTTCCTTTTCACCAGGTCAAAAATGATTTGTGCTGGCGTGTCACCAGGTAAAAGTATCGATTAAATTAGTGATAATAATATTCAGGGGCGATTCTGAACTTAAGTTCGATTTCTCTCAGAAAGTTTGCTTTGAATGCAAGCAGTCTTCTCGTATCATTGGAAATATTATCTAGAAAAATATTATCTGAATACTCGATTTTCCATCGTACTTCTCCCTCAATTCGCGGTCTCCGTTTTGATGGAGGAGTATATTTTTATCCGCCTTTAAAATGTTAATTGATCTTTATGTGGAACTTAAAATTCAGCTCAGAAATACACTTGAAGCTATAGACATTCGCTATCGAGAGCCGATCTCAATTAGTAAAAATATTTCTAAATTTTAGTTTCTTTTCAAAATGATTCAACATCCGCGTTAGCTTAAAATAGCTCTTAGAAATCTCGCCATGATTTCCAAGCCTAAGAGGGCACCTTTTAAGTCTGAAGCACAATTTTCGAAAAGTTCAATATCCCAACAACCAAAAAAACGTATATAAAATGAATTTAAATAAAAAATTAAGTTAAATTTTCCAATTGTGGTCGCCACTGGTCAGGGAATGTTCACCCCTCCGAGTGTATTTCTGGCTTGAATTAAAAACTCTCCGTTAAAAAAGCCATCAGCCGTTCGGAGGCGGCTTAGTATAAACTGTAGGTCGCTCCATTTGTTGGAAAAACATCAAGACGCAAAATCATAAATTGGAAGAGCATTTCGGCCAAAATCGATAAGTTAGTCAATAAGATACCGAATTATTATTTACTTTGACATGAGACAGCAAGGGAAGAATAAATCTTGTTCATTTGATAGTTCCAGCGCAGCTAGGGCCACCTTTTTCGGACGCTTTTAATTTGAAACTTTGCTTTAAAGGCGCGAGATATCAAAATGTGAGCTGATAAATGCTTCAGCAACCTGCAATAAATCGGTCGCACTGCCAGCAACAACTGCGACATTGTCGCCTGTTACTGTTACACATGTACATATATATATACAATGCATGTGCTCCAAATATATATCTAAAAATATATAATATAAATATGTATTTTTTTTCTAAATTCCTTTTTCAGGTTAATGGCGAAGACGTGTTGGGGTTGCGCATAACGGATATTGCAAAATTGGTTCAAGCCAAATCAGGACATGTCACGTTGCTGCTCTGGAGCTGTGGTAGTGATTTCCAATGTGACCCAGAGGTATATTTTGCATTTTTATCTTCTGTATGAGTACGTATATGTACATATATATGTGCGTGGCTGCGTGTTAGATATGTGATTTATGCAAAGGTATATCAAAATGAATGAAAGCATAAAAGTGAAACACGCACATAATCTGCATTGCAATTGCTCTCATTCTGCAGCTACCAAGTTATCATTACAGTTATCACAAATCAGAACGAGCAAAAATATTATGCTTGTATAAAATAAAAAAAATCCAAAAAAAAATTGTATGAAGTCTTGTATATAAAGTTCAGCTTCAATAAGTGACACACCAAAAAATAGAAATAGAACTCTAAACTTAATGAGTGAATAGTTTTTTAGTAATATATTAAGATTATAACAAAAGGTGATCTTTTAAAAGCTATTGGAAAGCTTTTCAGAAAAAAAAACACTTACAAAATTCAGAAAACTGCATGAAATCTTTATTTGAATCGAAAGTACGGTCCATATAATTTAATGTTTGAAGATTAATTAATGCAAATGTTGACCGTGACTGCGCCTTAAATGATCCATCCGCTTAGTCCAATTTTGGCATACTCTTTCCAACATTTCGGACGGTATCTCACGAATGAATGCTTCAATGTTGTTCTCCAAAGCGTCAATGGAAGCGGGATTGTCTGTATAGACATAAGATTTAACATAGCCCGACAAAAAATAGTCTACATACGTTAGGTCGCACGAACTAGGCGGCCAATCAACCGGTCCCGAACGTGAAATGAGATGTTCACCGAACTCGCCTCTCAATAAGTCCATTGTTACGAGTGCTGTGTGGCATGCTGCACCGTCTTGTTGAAACCACATATCATGCAAGTCAAGCTCTTGCTAACGAAGTATAACAATCTACGAAATCTTTTCTAGTGAAATTTAAGCACTTTTCCGGCTCTTTAGAAAACAACTTACCTCAGGTCATGAGAACCTTAGTTGCCAAGAAAATAAATTTCTGAAAACAACTTACTCATGTAAGGAAATCCCTATTGATTGTGAAGTAACAGTTTTGGAAAGAACACGTACAGAATCTTCAGTTGGGTAGGAGTCGAAGTCAGAAAAATATATTTTTTCATATGTACGATAGAGATGACATACCTAAAAGGATTCGTTTCATACATATACAGATGGAGAGCGTAATCAGGGCACATGCCCAGTACTCACATGGCTGTCAAATGAATGAAGTTATCGGAGCGGATATTTCAGATCCTCGAGCCAAGTGCTTTAAAGTATTGGAACAATACTCAAATACAATTAAACCAGATATATATTCAATCAAAATATCGGCAGAACTAAATACAACGTAGTGATAGCGATGCTGGACTTACGGCATTATGTGAAATAAAATCGCCCTTTATAGATATATGCATATGTCAGATACTTAAACATAATAAAGTTCCGCTGTAATGGGTATCAGGACACAGAGGCGAATAAGGAAATGAACTAACAGACAGGTTAGCAAAAAAGTTCGGCAGCAACCGTTAGGACAGGTCTGGCAAACTTCATTCCCATCGGTGTCACAAAATTAAAAAAAGAGTTAAGGTCAAGAACAGTAAATATTACGTAAGGTGTCTTAACGGAACGTTACAGCCATATATAAAAATAATATTTAGTGTTCAAAATAACAAAATTCCAATTTTAAAAGACCAGATTTTTAAAACAAAATTTCGATTTCCAAATTTTTGGATGAACCCAATTTCGATATTAGGCCATATTCAAGATAAAGATTCGTACCGAAAAGCTCTAATAGAAGAAAGAAATTGCAAATAAACAAATCCGTTTAATATAAGAATGTCTGGGTGTTATTGTAATTTAGTTGGACTTAAAAAAAATTAAATCTTTATAAGATACGTTATTGGGTAAATATAAAAACAATTCATTGGTTAATAATTTGAACCGATTATTTAATGTTAGCTAAGGAAAGCCCAGAAATGTTCAGAAAATGATGGAACGGTAATATTGTCTTGGCGAATCGGGTACCAAGAGGACGATGACCACCAGGAAATTAAACTATAAGCAAATATACAATGAGCATAGAGTGGTTTCACGAAGTCATTGACCAAAAAAAATGGTCGTAAAACATATAATTAAGATTCAGTCATTCGTTTGTAATTCCACACTCCTTCTTATATGCATATTTATGTAATCACATTTAATGCTATACTTTTTATTTTTACACTTTTTACACTAATTTATTCTCTTTTTAACAACAACAACCCAACAGAATATTTGCTGTGCACCAATGCCTCGCACCCTACAACGTCTCGCCACCATCGTCCAATCCATATTGTCCATAATTGAGTGTCCCGTCTGTTTGGACACCATCACACCGCCGACCATGCAATGCCAGAATGGACATTTGCTGTGCCTCAACTGTCGCATACGCGCTGAAAAATGTCCGGTCTGTCGGGATCGCTATACGCCGCAGCGCGCTTTAATTGCCGAGCAAATCTACGCAGCTATCACCAGCGCATACAATTTGTGTAGCGGCAATGAAGACAAATTACGTCAGAAGTTATTCGGACAGAGTGAGCGCGCAGGAGTGGCAGCCGGTATGAAAGTGATGACTCGACGTTGGCGACGCGTGGAGGCAGCCAAACAAACGATTGATGAGCAGGCGGAACAAACGGAAGTTAGAAAAGACCGTAAAGGCGGCTGCACAATGAAATGGAGAAGACCAACGGCACAAGTGGACGGAGTTGGGGAGACTCAAAGTCAACATGTGGTGCCTGGCGCTGGGCAGGCGGGGCGTTTTAGTTTTGTTGACGAAGCTGATATCGCCGAGAGGATGGTAGAGAACGCAGTTGCTAAAACGGATGCGATGGCGATGAAGCGTGATGGGAGAAGAAAAAAGATTCTAATGAAATTATGGCATACTAAAGCAGCGTCCATGGAGAATCTCTCAACAGCTACAAGTACAACAGCGAGTAGTAGTGAACACACAAGTAACAAAATGCGTGGAGTGAGCGACTATATTAATGGCTTGGCGTCTGACAGTGCAACGACCCCAACGACAGGAAATCAACACCCGAACGTGCATGCAACGCAATTATTTCCAAATCGGTCTAAAGACGAGATGGAATGGGCAATGAAAAATTCACAAAATCACTCGAATTCAAGGGCTAACAATAGCGATGGTCCATATAAGGTGTCGGCGGAAGCCACAATGGCAACAATCAAAGAAGCGCCGCAGCAAACAGGTATGCGACAGGAGGCGGAGATGGAGACGCACACTTACACCGGTACCGAGACCGACTTGACAATGCCATTGAATTGTGAAATAACAAGAAAAACAATTTTAAATGTTACAACAACAATAGCAAATGATGTCATGTCACAGCTTTCATCAGCATCATCGCGAACACCGATGGCGAGTGATGCAAAGTCAGTGATATTCCAGCAACCAACATCAACAGCCGAAGACAATAAGGTAAGGGCGGTGGAAGAAGATGAGCGAAATGGAAAATATTCACTAAAGCAAAAACACGTCGAACCGCATTGTCAATGTGACAACGCAACGTCGGAAACTGCTCCTGGCACCCCATCGCCTCCAGCCCAAACCATCGCGGTGCGGCGTTGTCCTTCAGCCCAGCAGCGAAGTCAACAACTGAATCGGAGCATATTCAACGACAACAAAAACAATATTTCCAAATATGAGCACTGCAGTTGTCCGTCATCATCGTCGTTGATTTTCATAGACAAACGACGTCCCGTCAGCAATCGCATGTCGTTGAGCAGCGGTTCTATTGAATATTTAAAGGCATCCTACTGTTGCTGTACATCACCAACAGATCAACTGTTACCGGCTGATAGCAAGATATATACCAAAGATACCAACAACAACGTTGCCAGCGACACTGATGCGGCCTCAACACGAAACTCCTCCATTCTAACACCTGCATCATCGCTCTCCTCCGGCGTATTCTCCACCAACTCGTCCACTCCAAATGATTTACAAGTGAGTGAACTTGCACCAACAACAACAGCGAAGCATGAAGCGTACAGTGATTTGCAGCAAAAGCAGAAGCAACGACAGCAAAGCAGCACTGAAATTACAGCTATTACTATGCACAAAGATGCGTTGTTATCTTCAATGAGTCGGCTGGGTCGGCCGGCATCGTCAATAACTTCGTCGTTGTGTTCTTTATCGTCTTTAACATCCTCATTGTTTTCATCAGCATCGGACATGGAATCGCCGTTGCCCTTAATAGCTGCAGCATCCGTTGGTGCGTGCTCATCTACCACGGCTCCTGTCGCTTACGTCAATTCCGAATTCTGCATTTCTGACCAGTCACCTTCTTCCTCATCTTCCCCCTCTTCGGCTGCAGTGAATTCACCGTTATTGTGTACGGAGTTAAATAAGGATGTGAAGCGTTATCGCTGTCCTTGCGACGACTGCCGTGAGAGTTTCAATGGTAAGTTTGATTACTCTTGTCTAAGTCAAAAAATAATAGAAATTCTAGGGCCTTTTGCACTCATTTTTTTTAAGTTAAATTTATTTATCCAAAACTGTAATCCCATCAATGTAAATTTTTGCAATTTTGTTACTTTATCTATATAAAAACCAGTTTTTGCCTATCAGTTAACGAGACTTCATAAATTGGTTTTAATTGAAACCGAAATTCTTCTTTGAAGGGCAGAAGTTTTCCTCTTCGCTATTTTTCTCTCTCCATCCATCCCTCTTGGTTTTCGAATTCAAATAAACCAAAAAGAGTTCGGCTTTGGCATGTGCTCGCTTTTTATAAACAGTGCAGATGGTGTAACCTCTGATTCAGTGTATAGTCTAGCGAGCCACTAACTCCATTGTTGTTTTGCTTCATTGTCCTTTGTCGTCTTCTTTACTCGGTTATTCAATTTATTCATACAACTCTAGGTTTACAAGGCTTCACGGAATTAGGTCGGCCTATTATTCTAATGATTTCTGATGCAACTGTAGGGACAAAGAAGAAGATGAGACCATCGAGCACTACCTCTGCCACTGTCCAGTCTTGACATCCGCGCGACACAACTTTCTTTAGAAACACATCTTCGACTATCTCACTGAGTTGGCCTCAGTGAACATTGGAAATCTTATTGCCTTTATAAAACACAAAAAATAGTTCGATCTTTTGAGAAGGTGAAGGCAGGATCCTCAGCGTTATCACAATGGGCCTATTGCCCTAACTCAACTCAATGCTTACAAGTGAATATAACCACTAACGACAACTGAAATGAAGAACGAAATCGATCAGATGATCACATCACTCGGAGGAGAGGACATTCCTTCTCCTTTACCAGTCCTTATATTCGCTTGATATTTTACTCTCGAAAAATGGTAGGTTTTAAATCGCAACTGTCTGGTATCTCTAATTAATTAAGGGCTCTACATCGTAGTAACATTTTCGCCGCTACGTATTATACTAAACTGTTTGTTTCTGATTTTGTTTTTTGCTGGACATTTTTCTTAATTAATTGAGTTGACACCGCATTTTTTACTGTTTAGTTAAAGGCACTAGAGCCCAATTTGCTTGGATCAATTTTAATTAAATATTTCTTAATAATCAGAGATCACAGTCACTAACACTTGCTCATATAAGAGAGCTGGAAATCTTGTATATCATCAAGGCGATAAAAAAAATAAAAAAAAAAATAAAAAATTTGCTAACTGCGTCTGAAGCAATTTTGTATGACATACTCGAAAGATACACTCGGCTGGGTACCGTAACCATGTATCCTACTCGGCCCATTCCTACTTAGAGTTCAGTCATTCAGGTGGCTTAAAGTGATCATTTGCGATTTAAGAGTAGTAGGAATAAGATCGCAACCATTTGGGGTGCAACTCTTCTCGGTGTGCCTAATTTTTTTTCCATAAAGAAGAATAGGCGAAAATTTTCAAAAAAAAAAAAAAAGAAAAATTGGGATTTCACAGTCAGAACAAGATCCTCTCTTTCAATAACTAACCGAAGTAAACTCGGTCCTTAGATATGTCGGTACAACTTCGAGTCCCATAGTGAAAGGATGTGTTCACTGATATGTTATTTCCAAAAAAGAAGAAAAATTAAAAGAATTTGGATAGTTTCATGTTCTTCTCTTATGTGAGCGTTTCAGAAAGGATCCGCTCAGATATTTTGATTATGCACGAATGAAAATTGAACCTTTTGATTACATCGTCGTGTAAGGTTAACCAAAAAATCCACAGCATTCAATAAAGTATGTGCTACCCGCCTGTTACGATTAATTTCTGAATAATAAATCGCAAGCTAAGCATAAATGAGCGTCCGAAAATAGTTCAAAACTAATTTTCTCTTATCAGTTAGCTTTACTCTCGGCTCCATTCGGCTCTTGTGCATACAACGACAGCGTATTATTATAATCTACCTGGCCTTGTTTGCCGCCGGATCATTTTTGATGTATTCGATTAGCCATCTACCATGGTGCGCCTGCCTACCAACAAGTTTCAGGGTATCGTTCCTTAATTACAAGCGATTTGATTTTGGATCTTACTACCTGAAGACGTCCTGGTAAGTACCGCCATTCTTCTTTTGACATTTGTGATCAGTGAAACAACCCTTCCGACTGCTTGCTCTTTCCTGCCACGTTTGAGCTTTCAAAAGACACTCAACTGATAACCAGTGAACGAAAAAATTCTGATGAAATCTGTCGCGTATTCTGTACAAAGCACTTATGACGATCCCAAAATATTTTGAATAACTTCAGATTCGAATAACAAGGTTTTAAGTGGCTACCGATATAAAGGGTGATTTTTTAAGAGCAGTTGTTTTTCAAAATAAAACTCATAAAATTCTTTATTTCTCTTTATTTGAGTCGATAGTACGGTCCATATAATTTTATGTTTAAAGATTATTTAATGTAAATGTTGACCGTGACTGCGCCTTAAATGGTCTATCCGCTTACTTCAATTTTGGCATACTCTTTCCAACATTTCGGCTGGTATCTCCCGAATAAATGTTTCATTGCTGTCCTCCAATGCTTCAATTGAAGTGGGCTTGTCTGTATAGACTCTAGATTTAACATAGCCCTACATAGTCTACATACGTTAGATCACACGAACTAGGCGGCCAATCAACCGGTCCCGAACGTGAAATGAGATGTTCACCGAACTCGCCTCTCAATAAGTCAATTGTTTCGCGTGCTGTGTGGCATGTGGCACCGCCTTCTTGAAACCACATGTCATGCAAGTCAAGCTCTTGCATTTTGGGTAAATAAAATTTTGATTTCATCTCACGGTAGCGCTGACCATTCACAGTTACGTTACGACTCGCATCATCTTTGAAGAAGTGGGGTCAAAAAAACTGGTGGCATAAAAAACCGCCCCAAACTGTGACTTTTTCTGGATGCATTGGTAGCTCTTGCAATGCTTCATCTGCTGATCTTCACTGCGAAATCGACAATTCTGCTTATTTACGCACCCATTAAGCCAAAAATGAGCTTCGAAGCGCGCGAGGAAGAAGCGCCCGGTGGACTTTCTTAACAGAGCAAAATGCGTGATAATAAAATTCAATATTTTGCAAGGGCTGTTCATTTGTAAGACCATTCGTGGCTTAATTATAGACCAATCTGAAAATGTTTCACAGTGATACAAAACACGAAACGTGCATCAACTGCTTTAACCAGTGCAAAATTATAATAGGTTAAAAAGCACCCTTTATGAGCACACTTAAGCCAGTGTCAGCCACGGTGTTTACCCGATCGCTAAGATTCCCTATTCATCCACTTAGATACCTTAGTTGATTTCATTAGATAATTTAACTTGATGTTTGCCATCTTATACAAATCATCAATGGAAGCAGCTTCTAGATGTCGGACCATTACATTACCAAATACAGGGCAGTTACATAGAAAGTAAGAGGCGGTATCTTGCTCTTCATCGTTCGTGCAGATTCTATAGCATCTGCGTAAAAAAAGTTTTAAACGAAATGAGAGCAGCGAAATGTTCAAAGGAACACGTCTACCTGTTTCACAAGTTCATATACCTTATATGTGCCTTAGTATTGCATCAATAAGTGTGGCCTTTTTCGATCCCATTTTGGTGAAATTTGTCTGGAAGTTAAGAAACTAGCAGGATGGTTCCATCTTAAATCCGCCTGCTCATAAGTAAAGTAACAGCAGTTTGCTTGTAAAGGAAGGCATATCAACACGTTCTTTGTCTGGAAGAATCGTGTCTTGTCTGGCAAGTTTGTTACAATTTCCCTCTTAGTCTCTTTGACCAGAAACCCATATGCATTTATTGAAATCCATGTAAGAGAACCAATCGACTTAATCACCGCCAGACTTTCGCTGAAAATAAACATACCCCTGTCCGAGAGTCCAGTTACAATGAGAAACAAATTTGTAAGATTATACACGGCACTGATTTTTCAACAACTTTCAATTTCATTTTTAAAACTTGATATTTTTAAAGCAAAATTTTTTTATGTCCCATTCAGCATCCTCGCAACTTCAGCAACATGTCAAAGCCGTGCATCGCTTGCCCATATTGAGCTTCGGTGGAGATGAACACGCCAAAATCACAGTGCCACTGCGTCCACCTTTAGACGATGCGGTGCTCATATTAGAAACGAGTAAAAGCGAAAACGCAAAGAATATCATCGACAACAACAACAACAGCAACAACAACAACAACAACAGAAAGAACAAAGAGAACAATGCGTTCAGTGATGTGTGTCGAAAAGTGGACGACTATAAGGACAATGCGGATTGTGTGGGCCAGCCAAATGACATTGATACACAGGCTTCGCACAAGAGTGGTGGAACGGAGCTGAAGATCATAGAGGATGTGCACTCGAAATATGCTGAGAAGCAACTAGAGCAAACTAGGGAATGTTGGATTAGAATAAAAGTGGACGGGTAAGTGCACAAGGACATGTATATATGTGTGTACGTACGTACACATTCCTTTGGCTGTGTGATTCTCTTTTGTACTGGCATGCCTTTGTGTCGATGTAGAAAAGAAGGGAAAACTAACAAAAAAGGCGGCACTTCAGCTGAAATTCCTTTAACAAATTTAAAAAAGAAAATGAAAAAGAACTGAACACTGAATGGTGGTGGCCGGCGGGAGGAAAATAACTATCCGGCTCGGTCAAGTACCTGCTTAAAACCACAGCGCGCATACCAATGATGCTTGACGTAGCATTCTGTGCCTTAATTTCAAATCCACTTACGAACAATGACGCTGAGGCCGCACTTTCGTTGAGTTTTAATTTATTGAAATTGCTTTAAGAAAAAATTAATTCAAAGAAATTAAAGCATAAAAAAAAATCGAAAAAAAAAATCTCTTTCACAAAAACAATTAATGCGTTTTAACTCATTTACTCTCCCCCTTTCTCTCTCTTCTGCATCTCTCTCCCCTAGTGGCAGCATTCAAACCGCAGCTGTGTTGCAAGCAACCGCAGCGGAAAGTGCTTATTATGTGCTGAAAGTGCGATTAAGTGGTATTGGCGACACGACCCCGCTTGCTAAGGACACCGACGGACAAATGGCAATTGAACTGCAACTGGTGCGCTGGTAGCCCAAGCTGGCAGGACCACTCACAAAGCTCAACAGCAACAATCAGATGGCTGAACTCTGTGGCTATGCCAAAAGCAACCACAACAGAACGGCAAAAGCCACAACAACTACAACCACAGCGACAACACCCACAATGTGCTGCCGGATTGCAGCAGCATCGAGTGCAACCAATAAAACAACATCAGCAATAATAACAACAACACTCACAGCCATGAGCACTTATACCACAGCTTAACACCACATCGTGGGGCAGGCTTTGGCTTTGCTATCGCAATCAGACAAAGAACAAGACGAACATCAGCAATGCCACAGCAATTGATACGTACATAGTTGTTGCTGACATTATCCATTAAAATTAACTGAAAAAGCTATAATAAAAACAACAAAAAGAAAGAAAAGCGTAAATTACTGTTAAGTGCATGGGCACTTCTTGTCTTGCTTCCAGTTAAAATTATGTGCGAGCTACAAAGGGGTAAAAAGTGTAAATAACATTAATTGAATACAATTTATATATAATATTCCATAATTATTTAAAATAGACCATGCATATTATTTATGTGTTTACGAAATATTATTTAAAAACATTCTAAACTCTGTTGAAATATTTTAATTTTTAAAATAAAAGAGAAAATAAACAAAATTTTTAGAGGAGTTTTTGGGGTCAATGTAAAACTGAAAATACAGAAGTTTCACTCCTTTGAGAGGAACATTGCTGTGATCTTAGTCCCTTTGTCCATTCCCTTTGGAGATAAATCAGCTTGTCCTTACAAAGTATGTTCAACCTCTGTCTGCAGAGCGCGGACACTCACACATTACATTTCGCATATTCCCTTCATCTGCTGAAATAAACCTAATTTTGGGACACCAACTGCAGTCGCAGCGCTGCCTCTATTATATATATATAATTGAGCTTCTCCTCCAATTTGTGGTTTGCGTCTTTATGTTTTTCCAAGAAATCTAAGAATCGACAATTTATACTAATCTCCATCCGAAAAGCCAACTGACTTTTTTAGGAGTTTTTGTTTCACGACGGCGAAAAAATAATTTCCTAAAATTTTGTATTGTTGGAAACTCCAAACCTAACCAACCGTGCGCAATGCTTACCACTCGGCTTTTGCCCGTTACGATATCATGTTTGGTAATTTTAACGACAGGATGGGCAAAAAAGGAGTCTTTGGCCGAACAGTTGGAAAATTCAGCCACCAACTTTGCTGGAGCCCAAATATGGTTATCTAAAATATCAGTTTCCGGCTCAAAGAAATTCATTTAGCTATCTGGTTGTTAGCGAATCAAAAGAGTCAGAACCAAATCGACCATGGAAAGATAGACAAAAGCCACGCCTCCAGTGTCTTAGATGCGTATGCTCTTCGGCCCACTGTCTGGTTACAGCCTGTGCAGCCAAGAACACCCACCAGAATATACCGCGTAAGTTTGTTTCCAAAAGTCCAATACGCCTCCAAACAGTTTTCATAATGACCTGCAATTCTATTCTCTGAGAACACTCATCAAAAGCTTGCTATGAAATAACTTTGAGATGGCATTTCTAGCTCCACACGTTTAGCAGGTATTGGTTTTTGTCAAAACCAAATGAAGAATGGCTATACTGCAGAGGAAGGAAAAAAGATTGCCTACCTTCCAACATTGCAATCGCCCACAACGCGTACAATGAGGAAAAGATCAAAAATATTTGAGATGGAAGTACAACGCACAGAAAAAACGGAAGCTGATATGCTTGGGTATGAAGAAAGAACTTAATTTGATGTCGATAAGAGAAAATGGTCAACACGAATCCCCAATAGATGACGATGGAAATATGATAAAGTTCGAATAGCGACTGGGATCTGTGCGTGCTGTCCCACAATCTGCGTGGAATCATGAAATAAGATGCCTCAATAACGTACATGAGATCTTGTCAACGGTATTGTTTAAGAGATTGAATCCCACACTCAAGAAACTCTTTGGGACTTATCACTGTGGTTTGATACCGGTGAATTTAAAATTCACTGGGTATTTAGCATACGCCAAATCTTTAAAGCTGCCTTCGACAGCACGAAATTAAGTATCTATATATTAGTATCTACGCCACTTTGTTTGAATTTGGCAAACCTGCAAAACTTATACGGCTACGCAAACTGACACTGAGTTGGGAACACCCGAGGTGGGATCAAACAATAGAGAAGGTACAATCTTCCATAAGAGACTGCAGCTATTGGCGTACGAAATCGATAAAATTATCTTCAATAACCACGCTGTATCTTCTGCTTTATCCAGACTGAATAAGGGATCCAAACAAATAGATCCAAACACCAGGTCCTTTTCTACTTGGTTTTCCCAAGGCAGTGGAAGTTTATCTCTTCATCTGCTTCCACCGACAGGTACTGCAGAGAAAATTTTCGATGCGAGAGCATTCTTTCCATCCGGACCACATAACCTAGCCAGCGCAGACGCTGGTTTTTGATTTGCAGAACTAAATCTATGTCGCCGTATATCTTGTACAACTCATTGTTCCATCGGCTGCGGAATTCCCTGTTACCAGCTCGCTGAGACCAACGCACCTTTCTCTCGAAGACTCTTAACGTCGACTCAACAGATATTTTTATCGCCTTTTCAATTGCCTACTCAGTCCAAAGTAGCATCTGTTGGCAAGAGTGATTCTGTTCTGGAGTAACAGGCTGTCACTGTTTTGCTCTTTATATTGGTTCTAAGATAAATGAAGTTATCTACGACTTCAAAGTTATGCATCTCAACAGTGACATGGTGGAGCATTGGGGTGTAGTCAAACTTCTAGTTGTGCAATTACAGTCTCAATACTTGAATTAATTCCTACTCTTGCGACCGCGTCGTGTTGCCTGGAAACGTGAGCAAACCTTGTATCCGATACGGTAAACAATCCGTGTGGACCATTGGAACAGGCTTAAAAGAGAGGAAACAGCAGTGGAGCCACTCCGATTTATTCGGTTCAATAGTTACAGCGGTGTGGCTGTAAGCGGGCGTCGGCTTTGAAGCGAGCGGCTCGCTATATAAATGTGTAAGAACTTTAAACTTACTTGTAGAAACCAGCTCCAATGAACAACGCCGAATCAGCGAATTTCAAATATATTCTGTGTCCATCAATCGTTGGAGCTTTTTATTTATCCGCATTGCTTTTACGATGACCGAACTTCAATGCCCTAAAATGGCAATTACGCTCTTCCCAAGTGAAATTTTTTTGTAAGGATTTTTTAATATTGCATTAAAAACTATTCTTTCCTCACATAATTCTGAAAAAATGCACTTAGTATTGACAGGCGCGTCAACACTGAAATGTCTGCGATTGACACGTGTTATTAACGCACACCAAGCCAGGATGTAACAAACTCGGCTGCGACAACAGCACCAACAACTGCTGCCCAACATAAATGAATTTCATAAAATATTTATTTATAAATACAAATTTACACAGGCCAAAGAAATATGTTAGCCTACATAGCCGAAGCGGTTGCTGGCAAGCGAAAAGGTGGAGAATCGCAAATTGCTAAGAAGTCCAATATGAACACAACCTGGACACAACCATCGCCGCTAAAGGCTACAGGCGCAGCTGTGGTAAAGCCTTTTGTTTGCAAAACAATGACAAGTTGATTAGTTTTCATTCGACGCCGCGTACAATGCAAAAAGCATTGGCGACGTCAGGCGAGCGCATGCAAGCATGTGTATGTGTGAATATACAATAAGTGCGGATGTGTAAGTATGCAAGAGCGTGCAAACCAATCAAGCAAATAACCGACAACACAGTTAACCACTCAATCCGCGTCCGTTAACCAACTGCCATTAGCCGAGCGTGTCAATTGCAACTGCAGCGCAGATGACTATGGCGACCAGCGACCGACGACCAACGACCGACGACCGTCATGAACTAAATACTACATATGCAACAGCATGGCAAATACAAATATGTACGTACACACACACACACACACACACACGTACACTTACTTTGATTGCGCTAAATCAGGTTGAATGCCAAACGTTGCGACCACACTAAGTGCAATTCAACCCCACCAGCGCCGCAGCCGACCAACTCGCGACCTGAACTGATTATAATGTCATCAAAACCGGAAGTGGCAGTTTAATTTAAAAGCGATAATTGAATTTTATTTCAATTTTTTTTTTCCTTTCTTATTTGCAACCCGATTGTGGGACTAAATTAATTTCTGCGGCTAAATGATCCGGCGCAAATGGAACGAGGCAGAGTTGGAGGTGTTGTACGGTATAGTGTGCGTGTTGTTATTGTTTTTGTTGTTGAATGTAGCGCAAATGAAGAAACGAATTAGGTGTAATGCAAAACGACAAATAAAAAAAAATTGCTCACAACAACAGGAACACCAACAGCAGCACCAAAACAGTAGTTGTAATTATAATTGGAGTGTGTGAGGGATAAAGGATAAAGTTTGCTGCAACTCAATGTGTATTGGGCGCAATTAACTACTTCGGAGTGAGTGATTAAATGTGGCTAAGTTGACTAACAGCAGGCGCTAGTTGTGCGGCATAACCACGGTCCAGTTGTTTGATTCAATGGAGTTGCATGTGAAACCACCGTTATTGTTGTTAGCACTTTTGGGTTAAACGATTCTGATTGGCTTTGTGAACTTACATAAGTGCAGTTAATACGTTACGTACGGCGCAGTGTAGGCTTCGTCGTTAAGCACGAATACAAAACTAACGGTGCAGGACCAAACAAAATTGTAACATTTCTTAAGAAACATTCTTAATCCTTCAGAAAAATACCTGAAGTTCTTATTATTCATTCACACACATTGTATTGGTTTCAATGTAGATTCTATTAACAGACTACAGTAATGCATTCCAACGAACACTCCAGTCACTAAAAGATCACATATGTTCTTCTTCTTCTATACTGGCGGATACGCGACCTACGAGATTATAGCCGAGTTAACAACATTGCGCCATTCATTTCTTCTCTTCGCAGCAAGGTCGTTACTCACCTGGTCTAACCAATAGAGCGGAGCTCTTCTTCTAACTTCACCGACGGGTACTGCATCGGAAAATTTTTAAGCTGGATTATTCTAATTCATCGGACCTACCCTCGACATATCGTACAGCTCATCATTCCATCGGCTGCGAAATTCGTAGTTCCCAATTCATAGAGGACAAGAAATCTTTATCTCCTAACACCGACTCACCAGATGTCGTCTATGCTTCCGCACCCTATAGCAGGATGAGAACGGGAATATTTCTTCTTTGTTCGTCGGGAGAAGACTTTACTCTTCCAAACTAGCAACAGTGATCTTGCGTTGAATTCTCTGCCTGACATTGTTGCTGTTGTTAAAAGTTCGGAACTAGTAGACAGACGAAGTTATCTTTGACATCAAATCTATATTTGTCAACAGTGACGCGGAAGCCGAATCGCAATAGTTTCTTTGAAGAGAAGAGATATTTCTTCTAGCCCCCATTCACTACCAGACCTATATCCTTCGCTTCCATGTCCAGTCAAGATGCGTTTTTTGGAGACAATAATGTC